CATATAAATGGACTATACAACAGCAGTGATAAAACAGTAACATTAAAAAGTTTTCTTTACTTTAAGGTTGTTAATTATTATCCCAAAACACATCAGCTATGGATTTTTCAGTTGGCTTTTAATACTTACCACCATCTTTTTTAAAATTGGTGCTCATATTATACATTTAAAGTGTTCCTGGGCTACCCATGTTAGTGTGTCCAATGCCAAATTTTAAAAAAACATTGATCTTTTAAAATTCACATTTGGTCTATGAACTTAAAATTGTTCACTGGCCTATACAATATAAACTTGTTACCAAAAGATTATAATGATTTTTAAAATAATAATAATAAACAGCACTAATTACGAAACATGAATAGAATATTAAAATGGTTGTTTTAAATAACTGTCCTTAGTCTTCACTCCCAAAACTGGAAGGAAATGAAATTTCTTATTTCATCTAACAGAGCTAAAAATTGGACCAAGATCAGTTTCTTGACACTGTGATCTATCACAGACTATAACAATATTATTCATAGGAGGGCAAATGTGTCAGGGATAGACTTGGGAATACAGATCTAATAGAAATACCTCATTTCAATCCCAAAGTACTCAAGATATTAGGAGATGAAGTAAAATTATTGAATATATTTTACAATGAAACTGATTCTAAGAACTATGGCCAAGATTTGTCATTGGCTTTGTGAAATGTACATTAAGATTTTTTCTGTATGCTTTTGTGTTCAGCTGGGAAATACTGCTTTAGAACTTGCATGTTTCAATTCATGCTAAAATTTGATTCTGTGTATGTGTCTGTGTGAGTGTATAAAATACCTCAAGCATAAGAAATAAAAAAGGGAGTAACAAAAGTGTTAGGGTTTTCAATAGGAAAAATATTAAATTCAGGTTTTCAAAAGTAGATCTTATGAGGGAGACCCCCACCAAATGGAATTTATTTATTAAAAATTATGTATTTCTTCTTACATGTTTAAACTTCAGTCACCTCCAAAGTACTCTCCATTTGATACAATACGCCTATCGAGAATTTTCCACTGCTCAAAACAGTTTTGGAACTCGTTGATTTTGATGCCTGCCTTTCAGTGCTTCTGCTGTTATTTCACGACTCCCACATCGGCAAAATGTTTCCCTTTGAGAACTTCATTCATTTGGGAGAAACAAAAAAAAGTCACAGTCGCTTGGGGGAGATTCGGTGAATAGGGAGTCATGCTTTTTTTTGGTCAAAAACTGCTGAACGTTCAGCTCCGTGTGGGCAGGTGCACTCCTACATCACCCATCAGGAAATGTGAAATATGATGAAAGAGTCTTTATAAAAATTCACTGGCACCAAATGCAGCCTCTCACAACAACGCCAGCTGGTGCACTGGTACAGATGGGTTCCTAGAACACTCACCTAAGTGGGGGAAGCCTGTTATCGCAGGGGGTCCAGCCTCCAGAAGATAATTCTAGGTTTGGGGGGTCATCCTCATATTCTTCCATAAATACAAATAACAGAATATGAGACTACAGAGTGTCAAATGTACTAACTACAACCTTAAGTAGGTTATAATGTTAACAATGGGATTTTATCCAGAATGTTCTTAGTCATCCTGAGAATTTAGAAACTCAATTCGTTTCTAGATTACATTTATGGAAGGTAAAAAAGTAACATAAAGTGAATCATTGGCAAAGCAAAAAATGTGCTTCCTGTGCTGAATTTAGTGTTCGTTAACTAACAGTACTTGTCCCTACAAAACAAGCAAACACAAGAAGCTAACTTCTGGAAATTTATCTTGAAGGGACACAAATGATGTTCCTGAAAATATCAAGTCCTTTCACTTGCTCATGCTGAGAGAACAAACAAAAAAAAGTTAACAATTATGGCACCAGGTCTTTGAATTTGTGTAAAATATACTCAGATTTGCAGAAAAGATTACTTCTGGTTTGCTTTACCAGCTTGATACCAAAAAAAATGTTGCAATAATTTAAAACAATATGCAAACACCCACAAACAAGAAAAGAAATAAGGCATATATTTTGATATTAATGATATAAAAGGTAAAGGATAATATATAGGCAAATAATTGATGTTCATTTTGTCTCAGAATTCCCTGTCAAAGGAAATGACCACTTAACTGAGAAGAGTAGATACAAAACCGATCAGAAGGAAAAGTGGAGCACAGAAAGGAACATGGGTTTCAGGGCAACACCTGGTTGCTGGAAAATTATTCCAGTCCCCTGGACCTTTTGACTCAGGACCTGATTTTTTTAGAAGGCTTGCAAGACAGGAACTTGAGACTGGAAAGGGGCCAGAAGACAGTGGGCAAGCAGACCAATGCATTTTCAGTTTAGAAAAGAGAACAGGAAATTTTTTAAAATATCAGCACGAGAGTTTTATGTTATTCTTTAAAAACCTTCCATAACAACTTGTTAGGAATGAATCTGCATGGTGCTAGAAAAGGAGTTATTATGTCCAGGGGTACCCTGGCCACACTACCCATGCATTATCTGAAAGGAAGAAGTGAGAGGCACACAGCACAGCGGAATGGGGAACAGTGAGAGCTTATGTGTGAGCTCCCAAGACCAGTCTGCCACCTGCGGAATATGAGCAACGTATTTCCACTCCTTACATTTTGGTTCCCCTCTGTCAAAAAGTAAAAATAGAACCTCTTCATAACACTACTATGAAAAATGCATACACTTAACAGACCCCCAGGAAAACATAAGATAAAAATGCAAGTTTCCCTCAGAGAAAATAATCCAGTGTCTCTAATGCCACCCTTTGAGAACATTCAGGACATGCGCAGAAAGGAAATGCAGAAGACAGAGTTTAACTGGTCCCAACAAGGCAACTGACAAGATCACACATGACAACCTAGTTCATACAGTGGGAAACACGGAAATAAAATCAAATAGATGTTTAGTAAGAGAAACCATTTCATAAGAGGACCAGCTGAGTCATTCCAGGAACTCCAGGACACCAGTCTATAAATACTGTAACTTCTGTGTCATAAGCGTGACTTCAGAACAGAAGCGCCTTTCTTGAAAACTCCCCACTTCAGAATTTCATGGAAATGAGCAAGTCTGTGTTCACGAACAATGGGGTATCAACTCTGCTACCAACCCGAATGGATGTAGTTCATTAATCTGACGTGTTGTCACCGTATCTATGGGGCAGTTTGAATTACTTTGGGTGCATTATCCTTCCCATTCTTTGCAGTAATGTAAAAAAGTCCAGCAAGTGTGTTAAACACCGCAAGAAGGGGTACCTTAATGACAGACGTGAGAAGGAAGGAAACCAATGTGCCAACATGTTCACTGGGTCAAGAGCAGGGATGAGTCTGAATGAACGAATCAGAAAATATGTCAAAAGTTTTGGGCCCACACGTTAGAAAAGTGATTGGCCAAAAGAAGGGCTTTGAGTGTGTGGATAACCAAAGGATCAGCATGAATCTGTGATGCCTGTGAAGCTGAGACTCAAGAGACAGAAGTTTGTCCAGGAACTTAATTAGCATTGGAACTGCGACTGAGGGACTCCTGTAAAATCCAGGGATAATTATAGTTCCCAGGCAAGCTCGTACTTGTACAGCAGAGCAGTGAGGAGTGGGGATCCCTGAGGGCAGGGTCTGCTTGGGGGAGTGACTCTCAACCGATTCCCTACCAGCAAGGAACTGGAGAGCATGTCTTGTTTACAGCAGGGGTGAACGAACTAGTAGACCTGGTCTTGCAGAGTCATATAATTGTTACTTTTTTTTAAATTCAGAGTTGTAAAATAATTTCAAACAGCATTAAGGATGTGGGTTTTTAACAATAAAAATAGGTGATTCTGGGAAAAAATAGTCTAAGGATCTGGCAGCAGTATGTCTCTCTCTTAATGATTCCTGCTTGGCCCTTGAAGCTTCTGAGTTGAGGATTCTGGGTTTTCAAACTTTCAAAGGATGGAACCCCACTCCAGCACAAAGGGAGTGGACAGGAGATGGAACAGTGAACACTTCTTAGGCACTCTGACTGCACACAAAGATTGAGAATGGAAAGGAACTCCTGAAACTGGGGGGGATGAGGGGGAAAGCACAATAAGGTCGAGAGTGGTTGGAATAGGAGATCTAAAGGTAGAGAGCCTTCCTTTTCTCAGCCATTGATATTGATAATGCTACCTGATTGCACAGCACTTTGATCTGGGAGATGTTTACACTTCGAATTAAGCAAAGGTAAAACATAAAATAAGATGTCTAATTTTGGAAAAATAATCAGGATCACAGAATCATAGGGATTTAGAGCCACAAAAGCCTTTGCAGATCATCTGGTTTGATCCTGGTGGTATTAGAATTAAGTAACTGATACATAACATTTCAAAGCCTTTGAAGCTTTAATTATGAAGTAGATAATAACTCCAGACATAAACTTACTAATTTGTAAATGTATACAAAGGCTGACTATATACTACATACTAAATCATAAATACATACAAGTACAAGCAACAATGAACACATCAGCAAAGATGTATACATGGCCCACACTGGGCTCCTCTCAGCAATCTTGGCTCTCCCCCGTGGCCCAGGGGGGATGCTCTAATGAATACCCAAGGGGGCCCCGCAGCCCAGTGTATTCCCTGACCTGTTTGGGAATCAGACAACAGTCCTCCTTGGAATTAAGTCATTGGCTCCAAGATTTTCCTATTTTCCTAGCAAATGAGAACTACATTCACCACTAGTGTAGAAGAACACTGGTAACCTGCCTCCAGTAAATACTACCCGGGCCCAGCACCCTGAAGGTTTGACACAGTCAAGGGGGCTGATAATGAATATCCTATTCATAGCACAAATACAAAAGTAAATGACCAAATAATAAATGCTGAATCTTTGGAATTTGGAATGGCCAGGTTAAAAAAAAAAGCCTTGTGCATGAGTCAGAATCATTAACATAGCATTGTTGTGTCTGCAAATTTCGGGCAGGTTAATTTTTGATAGCTGGGGAAGAGCAAAGCTCTCAACCAATTTTCTAAACCGTCTTTCCGCAACACCCGGGGGCAATCACCTGTAGAGTCCTGACTGAAGGCCCAGGTATGTTTTGAGAAAGCAGTCAGATTCCTAAATGTTTTACAAGGTTCACTGCCAGAGCTGCTTTTCTAACTTGCTTAGACTGAGAATGAGGAACTAAAAAGAAGCATGACATTCTTGAACCTCAGTGTCCTCACCTCTCGCGGAGGGGACAGCATCAAGATCAGGCACAGCTACCCTGGCTATTCAAATCATTTTTAGACTCCTACTTATGCAAGGGGATCCTAGCATGAGGTCACCAGAAATAAAAATGAAATAGCAGGCTTGATGGTGAGCAGAAGAGAATATGGTCATTCAGATGTAAACATAGTTCCTTTTTGCTTTTAATAAGTTTAGAATAGGATCATTAAGCACTGGGTGCTTTAATCTTAGGTTTCTAAATAAGCTATCAGGGCCCTTCAAAAAAAAAAGTTCATTTAATTTGAGAGACGGGAAACACAAATAAGAAATGATCCAAAATAAAACAATCCTAACAACCGAGCTATTAACTATGTTTGATGATATGCTCTTGCTTCCAAATAAATAACAGAGATCAATTTGTAAATTAATGAGACACAACTGAAATATAATTATAAATACAGCCCTTAAAAGAATATTCATTCGCTGTCATTAAATAAAAAAGGCATCAGTAGTTACTGACAATGAATGCTGACCTTTAAAAATATTTATCAAAATTAAATTTTTCAAATCTTTTGACAAAATATGGTAGTGATAATCTTAGCAGTACAATATTGATAAATATTATATTTACTTAAGAATAATTTGCTTCCTATTATTCCTTATGGCATTTTAAAAGGGGCTTACAGGTGTGTGTGTGTGTGTGTATATATATATATATGCATATATAAAATAAACACTTACTTTGCACTTATAGTGCATAGTATACCTGGTACTGTTCTAAGCATTTTAAAAATAGGCAATTTAATCTTCATAAAAATCTGGGGAGGAGAAAAATTTTATATGAGAAAAATAAAGTATGCTGGTCTGAGATCCACAATTAATTTTAAACTTTTTAAAAGAAAGACTTATCCTGGAGTTCAGATTACTAGGATTAAAAATAAGGATTATATTGACAGTGATTTTTAGGCTTTTCATGAAAAGCTTTAGCAGTCTGCCCATATTAGATGGTTACTTTTGAAAATAGTTTATTGAAAAAACTATTTCCAACCCAAATCATGCTCATTCTTTGTCACCTTTCATCCTACTACAGGGAACAGTGGGGCACTGGAGATGGCCCCAAGGTCTCTGAGACTCTTTCCAATGGCATGTGAAGTCTATGCTTCTTCTTCTTGAATAGAAAAAGCTTACAAATGCTTCAACAAACAGAATGTGGCAGAAGTAATGGCATGCGCCTTTTGAAGGGAGGTCATAAAATGCCATACAGTAGCGACCAAGGGGAAGCTCCAAACGTTCCCCCTCCAAACACAGCTGTCATGCTGGGAGAAGTCCAAGCCATATGGAGAGGTTGCATGTAAATTCTGGAGTCAACAGTCCAGCAGGACACAGCCTTCAAGCCACCACCACCCAGAAAGCAGACTCAGAAGCCTCCAGATGATCCGTCCAGACCTCAGATCTGCGGCACCCCATCTGTGGAATCTTCCTCACTAAGGCCCTGGACAACTGTGCAGCAGAGTCAAGCTGCCACCTCTGTGTCTTGCTCAGAATTCTGTCCACATAACTTGTAAGCATAATAAAACGGTTGTTGTTTCATGCTTTTAGATTTGGGATAGTATGTTAGTAGAGTACAGAGAGATAAATGGACTATTGCCCCAGTTAAATTACCTAGCTATCTAAGTCCATTTCCATCATAGTAACAGTAGATGTGCCAATATAAAAATAATGATTACAATACTCTCTTCCTCTAGATATATGGTTAATGCTTCATATTCATAATTTTATTTAACTTTCTCATAGACTTATAAAATGTATAATGAATATTCCCATTTTTACAGCTAATAAAATTAGTCTTTGAGAGTATGAGTACACTCCCAAGGACGGAGAACTAGATATACCAGAACCAGTATTTACCTGGAGTTATTTAGGAGAACTTGATTATTTGTAATGCACTGCTCATATGGGGAAAAGTCATCCAGTTCCTTTCATAAGAGTGCATGCTGAAAATAATTATCGTAAAGAACGATAACCAATTCTATAACCATTTTACAACAAAAAGTATTAATGTATAACTAAACTATTTCATTCTCAGAAATACTTACTTTGAGTAGTTAAAATCTGAATAACTGGCAACTCTCAGAACTCAAGAGAGGAAAATAAGTCAGTATTACAAGCATTAAAATTCAGGTGTGTAAAATTGTAAGGGCTCCTTAAAGCCCACCAGGCTGGCCCCTCACTGTTCATCTTTATGTATGTGGTAGCAAAGACCACAAGAATTTCCATGGTCTTACAGTATCTGAAGAGAACAGGGTTCCTACAAGCGCATGAGGAGGTAAGAAGAAGCTCAGGGATCAGCCAGTCCAATCCCTCCCCAGACAAGGAGAACAGCCCTGTGACTTGCCTAAGGCAGCCCTTCCAATTCTGACTCCCACTCCACGCCCTGTGCTAATGAGCAGGCTGCTACCATAGATAGACTGTTTCAGTGAACTCTGTTGTCCCCAAAATTTCAGAATAGATTAATCACTGCTGCTGCTAATCTTTTTCTAATTCAAAGAGTGACTAATCCCCAGTTCTCAATTATATGCAGGGCATGAAGATGCAAAGGATCCATGCTGTGAAAGGCATAATGGAAGAGAAACAATTGGAAATACCAACTGCAAACAGAGCGCATAGTCCCGAATGTGAAATAATTTACAAGTTAATGTGGGTCATCATATGATAAGACTCCATAAAGCTTTGAGACTTCCTGCTGCTCTGATGTTACAATAATTATAAGGGAAATGAGAATTAGCAAAGCAACTACCATAACGTTCACTGTGTTCCAGAACTAAGCACCATTAATGCAGTATCCCCCTAAACCATCATACAAAAACCATGCGCAACATACTCTTATGCCCGTTTTACAGATGAAGAAACTGAAAATCAGAAAAGTAACCAATCATGTATATAAATAATGACAGTAAGTGCTAGTTGCACACAAAATCCATTTGCCCCTTTCTTCTTCATCTAAGGAGACAAGGCACCCTGTTAAAGACTAGTTCTCCCAACTAACTACCCTTTCATCTAGGTGTAGTCATGTTATTCTGTTCAGTCTAATGACATACTAAAGTGTGCTGTGGACTTTCCTGGAAGGCTGTTGATGCAGCTAAAACCTGCATTACTTTCGTCCTCCTTGCTTTGCTTTGTTCCTTTCTGCAATATGGAATGTAGAGGCGATAGCTCCAGCTCCGGAAGCCATCTGGTAACATGAGGGGACCCTGAGGGTGAAAGCTGGAGTGAAAACACTGAAGGAGACAACAGCCTTGGCCTCCAAAGATCATGAGGACAACACAGAGGTGTGCATCACCTACCCATTGACTTCTTTTACAGAGTGAGAAATTCCTACTGTTGAAGCCCCTAATATGTCTGATTTTCAGATAAATGCTGTTAGATATAGCTAATCCTTCCTAATGCATTATTACCTTTATAGGAAAATGTTGCCAAACAAAATGTTGAACAGGCCTTAAAAAACATCCATTTATACCTAATAGTCAACTTCACTGTAATTTCCATTTCATCCTGCAAAGGGCCTATATTTCATTTCAAGACTGAATGTACACCTCCAGAGATGGACACTGAAGACTATAACTGTCTGAACGGCGTAATTCTCTTTGGATCGTATTGCAGGCAGGAAGGTTAGATGGGAAAGGAGCTTGGCGAGAAAAAGCCAGCCTGACAAAGAGTCAGAAGTGCTACAGTTAGTTGACTCTGAGCTTTATGCTGTGCACGTAGGATACAACCAACCAAGAAATTCTACCTATTATTTACACAGTGACAGATAAAGGAAAATGAGGTGTAGCTCGATCAACAGACTCTCCTAAGCAGATTTAGACACTATTCATCCCTTCTTTTCAGGCTAGAAGCCTGCTTAGCTGGAACTGTAAAATAAATTCCAGCACTCAGAACATTTCAAGGAGGAATAATTTTCGAAACTCACTCCGGCTTTATTTCCTTCACTTTGAAATTGATTAGATGTGCCGTTAAAAGAAAAATTGGTTGGTGTCTCAAAGAAGAGTATTTTAGTATTTTAGACAAATATAAGGTAGATAATTTTAGACACTTTAGCTATTAATCATTTTGGCCCATGTGTCCCTAACCCACAAACAAATCATGTCAGCTTAGGTTTTATAGCAGATCAAATTGTTTACTAAAAACTAAAACAATCAATACTTTTATATTAACCCAGTATTTACCATTTAGTCAACGAAATACAATAGCAGTGAAAACTCTTTTAGAGTTCTTTAAACAAGCAATAAATGGACGAAGGCAGTGGAAATAAAATCACTCCTGAGTTGTCTGGTAAGTAATGGAAATCAAACTCAATACTTGAAAAGAAATGTTACATAAGTAGTAATTTAATTTAACTTTTCAATTTAGAGCATGCCTAGTCATATGTAACTTTCTGAAATGAAGCATTTCAACAACTCGCTGGGAGTCTGTTTTAGAAGATAATCTGAAATCTATAAGAATGACAAAAAAATTTGCAGCAGCGCTTGATCTAACTGCTCAGGAAGCAAAGACAAGTAAATGAGAATGTTTCAATTTGGGTGAGTTGACAGTGCATTTCCCACATACCGCAGCTCGCCCCTCAAACTTTTAGATGGGACTCAAATGAAGTTAGGACACTCTTCCAGTGGGGGGTGTCTACAGTAAATAGAAAAACTCTAAAACATAAAGCAAACGGTTTTATTTGAATGGTTCATGTTTTCAAAGGATTACTAATAAACTGAAAATTCAAATTGTGTTTCCTTGCTATTAACTCTATCAGCAAGGAAAAATCATGGAATAGAGTCAGCATGCAGTACATAATTTCTGAATGAATAATGAGTCAAGGGAATGATGTACCAGATTATGTTCTACAAGATCTGTGTATTCCAGCTCTGATAATAACCGGCAGAATGACTTTGGTAAGCTCACAGGGGAGACATACCGTGGTATGTATGGCAGAAAGACACACCAAGGAAGTTTGAGAGGCAGATCCGCATTCAAACCCCGATGTAGCCAAGCAACAGGGGAGACATTTACCATGCCTGAACTCCAATTTTCTCAAATGTAAACTATGTATATCAATAATGCATAACGTCCATGGCTACTATAATATATCGCTCCTGGTATTGTTCCTGATAAATATTTGTTCTTAATCTATAAATGACAGCCAGCATCATCAGCAGCAGTAGAAGCAGCATCTTCATCATGGATATCTTTTGAGTATCATTTTATTACCTAAGAAAGGGGAATGATAATTTTCGGTACACCTAAGTTACAGGGACATTGTGGGGATGTGATTCTTTCTTTTTATGTGAAAACGCATTTAAAATATAAAACTCCAGAATGTAAATGACAGCAGAATTATTATTTTATTGTTCAACTAGAAACCCCTCTAAGTGACTGAAATTTGTCAGAAAAGTATCAGTGCTTAAACACAATTCTGAGGCAGGGAAATGAACAAATGTGAATTATATAGGTGAGGAATATGGTTAAAAAAATAAACCTTTGAAATGTTTTTTTTAACTTCCACACAAACTATAAGATATTCAGAATCCCACGTAAGATTTATGATTTGTACCATCCAAAAGTGATTATCCTGTGAACTTTTAGAAAAGAGTTAAACATTTTGCAGAATTCAGAAACACACAAATTGCCATATACATCTTAGTCTGCTTACAGGGGAAAGTATAAAGGCAAGGTTTCTATTTCTAAAAGCACCTTGAATTGCAATGGACTATAAAGAAGACTCTGTGTGTTGTGCTGAACTCTCTGTCCCCAAGATATATAGCTCAGTGCCTGGAAAATTATAAGAATTCAACAAATACATGTTAAAGTAATGGCTAAATGAATATAGTTGAGACAACGTGATTGCTTTTCATCATGTCTTGAAAGCCAATATACTCATGACTGTATTTCTTTTTCTTTAAAAAAATCTCCATCTCAAATTGCTACATTATTATATATGTTTACTTAAAAGATAATATATTAGTGGCAACATTCAATTTGTTGTCTTACATACTGTAAATTGAGTATCTTTCCTGTAATCACATGGTAAAATTTGAAGCCACAGAATGGGTAATCCTAGTAAAAAGCATCCATCCCAATTATGAACCATTATAAAAAAATTGAAACCTCATTTGGTTTCATAAATCTATCATTCAGGACATAGTGAACCCTCATTTATTCATTACAAAATAAAATGCAAATAACATGACAAAGACAAATAAAAACATGTAAAATTCACATCAAATCGGGTCATCTTCAAAGCTAATATTCCTAAATTTCAACCTAAATTACATATTTAAATTTAACTGCATGGAAAAAGCCAACAACTCTCTGGGTACATGCAAATAATCAGGTCCTTAAAGTCTGTGAACTTTTTTATGAAATCATACTCTTTACCAGTCCCAAACAGCAGCAGAATAGTCATTCAACTGACTCCTAACACGGGTACTTGATCCAAGTTCTGTTGGACACCACCCAGCTTCCCCAGAACTCGTCCCACTATTAATCACCCTACAAAAACTCTTCCCTGGTTACCTGCTACAAAACAGATAGCAGTTGGGAGACTTTCTGTAATAAGGAGCCTGGGTTTTCAAAATGGTGAGAGAAAAGAACCAGAAGCTTGGCAGCTCTGAACCAGGAGCCCCACCCTTCCACTATGTATCAGAAATCAGCTGTTCCCTCAGCAGCTGGCAGGTGGCTGATGAAAATGAGATCTGAAGATAGTTGTCCATCTTCTGTAGGAGAGTTATAGTTAGGAGGCAACAGAGAGTAGCAAAAAGGCAACGAGGGTAAAAAACACACACACAGAGAAAGCTAATGTATTAATAAGTAGTCACACACAGATGCTAACAAACTGTGCGGAGACTGTTCACAGTAATTAGGGGAGCCTACAACCTAGGAAACCTTGTTAAAAAAATAGGAGAGAGTAGCTGCCTGAAGGTATTTTATTGCCCTATCTAAAATTAGAAAAACTGGCCCTGGCTAGCGTAGCTCAGTGGATTGAGCATGGGCCTGCAAACCAAAGGATCTCGGTTCAATCCCCAGTCAGGGCACATACCTGGGTTGCAGACCAGTTCCCAGCAGGGAACCCATGAGAGGTAACCATACATTGATACTTCTCTCCCTCTCTCCTTCCCTTCCCCTCTAAAGATAAGTAAATATAAACCTTAAAAATTAGAAAAACTGGATTATTTTTTTAATGATTTCCTCCTCTCCCATCTGTTTATTGCTCAATGGTACTGTGTTTAAAATAAAGTGCAATAATTATATTTGTGACCAATGTTAACAGGATGATGATGATGGTGAAGATGATGTTGATGACAATGACAACTCTGGCTTCTCCAGCAGACTGCATTTTGAAACTGACAACAACATATCACAGGCTTTGGTTTACTTAGTAGAGACTTACACAGATAACAACCATGCAGCACACGCCAGACGCAAGTTCACAAGGCATGGGCGTGGCCTCAGTGATTGCATGTGGGACAGAGAGGCATAAACACTTCAACACCACTGCCCATGAGATGCTAACCGCACACAAAAGGAAGACAGTAAAGCTGCTGGGGCCCAGGCAGGCCTGCAGATAGTGGGCAGAAGGAAAGGGCAGACCAAAAGCTTCCTAAAGTACTGTTACCTTCCAGCCGGTCTTGAAGGATGACTAAAGTTTATCTGAAGAGGAAATTTTTAAAAGATATTTCATGAAAAGAACATTACAGGCAAATACAAAAACCACAACTGGGGAAAGGGAGCTGACTGGAAGACCAGTGGAAGGAATTTGCTGAGCAGTGCTCAAGGTGCGGCTGGGGCTGAAAACCTTACGTGTGTAATAGCACTGATCCAGGAGACTATCTGATTTATCTCTGGCTGTTCCTGACAGTCTGGCACAGAAAGCAGGAGTAAAGACAGCAACACTGAATGTGCTTCAGTCGGAAGAGGGCAAGAAGTGAAAACATGCCCAAGACGCTGTCTCTCCATTTACCATGGCCTACAACCCACTCACCAGCCTCCTGCCCAATTCCTCACACCAGAATCTGCAGAAAACAAGCAGCAGGAAAGTCCCCTTTTAATAAGCCCCGTATCTCCCTTAA